GCATTGCAACTCAGGTCAAAAAGCTTGTTGTTATTTATTACAAGTGCAATAGCAGTTATCGCTTGTGTGGTGGAAGAGTAGACCTGCAGAAGTGAGGATGCAAGCTTAATACTGCTGCTTACTTAATAGAATTCTTAATAGTACTGTTTTCTCTCATTTGCTGTTAAGGCTGCCATGTTCCTTCGGCACAAGCGCGTCCATGTGCTATCTGGTCAGTTTGCATAAGTGCAAGAAACCTTAACAGGCCTGCATGCTGTTTTTCACAGTATGTGCTGTACAGGTGCAGCTCTGCAAAAAAAAAAAAAAAAAAAAAAAAAAAAAACAACAAAAAAAAAACCTTTAACCCCTCTGTGCTATGTGGTCAATCTGCCTATGTGTGCTCACCGCTTGCCTGGGACTTCCAGACATCCAGTGACTGAAGAAAGAAGGCATGCCTATCTAGGTTTCACCATTATCATAGCACTAATTGCCTTTCCTTGGAAAGATAATTCACTAGCATTTGCGCTTGCAAACCTGCCATTTAAGAGACTCTGGTCTTTATCCCTCCTTGGAAAGAGGAAGAAAACATTCCTGAGCATTGTCTGAGGCATTTAGAGCTGCATAATGATAATGATACGTGACACGTCAAGTACTGGTTTGTCTTGTGCATATGGGTAAAAGTTGGTATTTACTGCCCTTTATCTTATGGATTCACTGGAAATAAATTGTATGGTAATTTAAAGGACTTGCACAACTTCATGGTTTCACTAAACTATTTCATTACGCAAGTGAACTTCAGGGGTATTGGATTTCATACATCAGTATGCAAAACATCCATGATGGCTTACTGTGTGTGAGGGCTGTGTGCTTTTTCCTGTTCCACCTGAGTTTGAGTGGAGTGGTTCAGTATCAGGAGGTTCACGGTCAACTTCAAAGATACCGTGTTGCCTGCAACTAGAGATGGATTCTGGACCAACAGGCTGTGTAGCTCAAGAGTCAGACTTTAAGAAAAAAAAAAACAAACCTACCTGTGCATGCACAGTGTCCAACACACCTGGAAACCGCGTTTCTGAGAGGGAGGGACTGAACAGGCAGTTGTCTTTGGTTCCTGTCTAGGCCTTGGATCTTCCACAGAGAAGCTGAGCCAGTTGGCAATGTGTTGTCTCCTGAAGAGACAATATTTTCTGAATGATTTTTAAATGGCACTTTCATTTTCTACCTTAAGTACTGTATGGTGTACAGTCTCTGAAAGGCTGCAGTATCCCATGGATTAATCTACTGACTTAGCATTAGAAGAGATGTTGTTGTAACAAAACCCCAAAAAACATAAGAATAAATGCATGACTTGGGAGCACTACTAAGCCAAAAAGATCTGATTCCAACTGCTGTAACTTCTAGTACAGGAACTTTCTGCAGTGTTACAATTATTTAAACTATATTGTGCGGTTCTCTTTAGTTCCATCTTTCATTTTACTTCCACTTTCTTGTCCCAGCTGGAAATGTTATGGTTACAGTAACATGTTACAGTTCACCCTGATGAAGTCATGGAGTTTATGTGCAGTCATTCAGTGTAGTAAAGTCTTTGGTTTCTACTGTCTCTTATTATTTATGGAGCTTTTTTTTTAGTGCAAGTAGTATTGCCCTTTCAACAGCATGTTTTTTCCCCTCTGGATCAAATTTGTTAGCAATTTTATGCATCATAAGACAGGGGAAGATGAAAACCTCGTGTTCTGTAATGCTTTTGTAGGCTTAAGCAAAATTTCGAAGGCCCTGTTTGTCTTTATTTTTAAGTATGTTAGTCTCAGGCATAAAAGTATAATTGTAAAGTGTTTCGGCATCGGACTGTTGAAAAGGACGTTATATCTTACTGTCTAGGATTTTTAGCACGCTGTGTGCATTTAAAAACTCTCATTTCATGTATAGCAGCCAAGTGCTCTAAGCATCTGTGTTCTGAAACGATTAAAAACTGCTTTCTTTTTGGTTATGGCTTCAATTTTGTCCTGGGATGCTGCCTGGATTTGGTAGGGATCTCACAAATCACCTGCCTTGCTTATACAGGGTAAGCAGGACTTCACTTGTGAAAGTTGTCTGTGTCTTGCTCTTTTTGTTGCCAGTACAAATTAGTCCGAGTTGTTCCCTTTTCCTCTCCAACAATATCATGAATTGTTTAGTTTTGATTTAATCATCTTGGCTCCATGGGGAGTTCCATGTGGTCTGAGCTGAAAGCCAAACTTACCTTCTCTCAGGCTGACAGACATCAAGGTTTCTTCAGACTACCTAAACCAGGGTTTCCGAGTGGGTTAAGCTCCATTTGGTGCTTCACTACCAGCTTCTCTGGGGCTAAAAGCTTGTGTGGAGTTGTAGGTCACCTGTTTAGAAACACTGTTAAAACCATTATGTTCTTCTTGAAATCAAGGCAAATGTTTGGAGACAAGAAGCATGAGGACTTAACATGGTGGGAAGGATACTCCAAGGATTTTCCCAGGCAGTCATCCACTCATTGAAGTGATGACTGCTTGAGGCCCTGCCTCTTCTTGCTATGCCTGTGCTGTGGCTAGCAGTTTGTCTGAGGGCACACCAGGGAATCCCTCTGTATCCTGCTGGTCATTCAGCACTTTGAGAACACAGGAATTCACCTCTACCACACGCCCCAAGTGTCCTTGAAAGCTTTTGGATAACCAAGCAGTCATGTTTCTGCATGCTTATGGCTTTAAATGATTGAAGTGGAAAGCAGATGAATTAAATTTTTGGTCTTAATACTAAAATAATTCTTAAAAGATGTAGCAAGTAGATGGCTTTAAGACTAAACAGCTCACAATGTAACTGATCCTTTAGGAAAAGGACTGTATCCGAAAGGGTCTTTTAGGGTTGGAGTAATACAGGGTATTCCCCTAGACTAGGGAGTTTACCTTTTTTTTTTTTTAACTAGCAAATAACTGCTAAGGAGATAGAGCCAAAGATGAGTATACTAATACTGACTGGAATTCTGTGCTCAGCCAACATCCTGCAGGTTTTCTGGTAAGGAGTAGGAAGCACATCCTTTCAAGTTTTTAACTTGTAAAGTGATCCTTATTTTACGCCCACTGTGGTGTTTCAGCCAGGAGTACAAAGAACTTGCACAACACAAAACTGCGGATTACGAGCATATGTTTTCCTGAAGGGGGTAGAAAGGGCTTAGAATATGATTAGGGATTTATTGTTGAGAGGGATTAAGCAACAGGAGGTTGTTTTTTAAGGTCACTTCTTTGAGTTGCAGTCTTGCTGTTCCTGAGAATCTGATATCTGAACTTCCCCTCCCTTGCTACACTGGAAATGCTGTTTGGGAGACCTTTGGTTCTTCAGGTGAAGGAAGAAAGCCTTAAGTATACTTCCTTGCTCCTTTATGGATCCCAAATGCTACTGTTGGGAAAAGGAGCTCTTAGAAATCCTTTCTTGCTTGTTCTTTCCTGTTGCTTTTAGAGGAATCTTTTTAGAAAGATTTAGTTTAAAGGACACTGCTTGAAAGTGACAGGGCACCTAACCAGTCCTCTGGTTCAGTTCTGGGGTTCCATGCCTTGGCAACTGCCTTCAGTCACCTTTCTATAGGAGGGTCCTCTGTCATCTGGGAGAGAGCAGGAGAAAGAAACAACTCTATAAAGGCTAAAAGACAGCTGATGCCTTCATGTCTCACTAAAAAAGCAATGCAAAATTTTCTAATATATTTGACTAAAACTAGCTGAGGCAGCTTTAGTCACAGTTCTGTGTGAAGTGTAACACTGTTTTACCTGACATTTATCCTGGAGTTTACATATACATAATTAAGTGGCTGAAAACTACTGCAGTGTCAAGGTTTTGTAGTGAGTGATTCTGTTCCCCTTCTGCCCCTTCCTCTCGTTTCTTCAAATGTGTGCCTCTGCACTGGGCACTAGTGCTGCAGCTGTAGCAGGCTCTCCTGGTCTGTTAGCTCTGGCTTTCTGTAATGTGACATTCATAAAATGTCGGGAAGTTGTCATGAAATCTTACCTGCCTGTAGCTTACCTGTTGTCTGGCCTTGTATTCACATGTGCACTTTTTCTTCTCTTTCCTTTAAAATACCAAGCTACAAATCTAACTTGTTAGTAGAACTATACTACATGATCATCCCAGTTTGGGGTGTTTTTTATTTGTTTTGGGGTTGTCAGTTTTCTTGAGCCATGGTATAATATTGCAAGCAATATAGTCTCCTGTAATCGGAACAGTTGGAGATAATCCCTTCCTGATTTGCCATTTTGCTGGTCCTTATGCTATTCCCCGCAAGCTTAGTTGCTGCTTTTGCCTCCTGATTAACTGCTAATAGACTTTTTCTAGTCATTAAGCACTCTTGCCTTCTGCATATAATAGTAACCTCTGTCTTGAAGTCTACTTCTGCCATTGCACTAAATGTGGATGTTTCTTCACTAACAGCAATAGCTCAGTGAACTCTTGCCCTGTAGTATCATTCAATACCCATAACTGCTGGTTTTACTGCTGAGGACATTTTTATGAGGGGAAGAATGAACATTTATTAGGTTAATGCTGATTGTTCGTAAGAATAATCTGCAGCCTTTTGCCTTTAAAACCGCAGATTAATTCCAGCTCTAATATAAATGGAAGTTAAATTATAAGTCTTAAATTCAATTTAGTCATTAGGCCCTTTCGTAATCCAAGGGATAGCCTGCAGGCAGTTATGCTGTGCACTCTCAGGAGCCCTTATTCCAAGGGGTTTTAGGCCTGGAAACGGTCAGCTCTAAAATGCCCTCTTGTTTAACCAGAAGCTCAACCCAATCCTGTGCTGAGTAGCAAAACCTGCAGAGCAATCTAGATAAGACAGCGAAGTCAGTGCCCCAATCAAGTTTTCTGGTATGCTAACACAAATTTAGTTTGGGCTTAAGTGTGTATATTATAGAGGTTACGGTAGTGCATCAAATAGTGGAGACTATTGTACACAAAGTACTGTGTTAACACTAAGAAATAGCTTTCAATACATCTTAAACAATGCTTTTTGTTTTTCTCCTTAGATCAATGTTCGAGTTGTTACTATGGATGCAGAGCTGGAGTTTGCCATCCAGCCAAACACTACAGGCAAACAGCTGTTTGACCAGGTCAGTGAAGGGTTGGTATGGGCTCTTGTTGTTTAAGCTTGGAGTACATTTCAGGCTATAGTGTTTTCTTAAGACTGAATTCCAGTCCTACCGTCCTTTCTTCTCTCCAACTCCTAATCAAAGGGCCTTGGTCTGAACTAAGATCTCTAAATTCCATCGCAGTAAAAGAAAAAAAGCAAAAATCCTTGCAGGTATGTTATGTTCCAGTGAAACCTGTCTTCTAGCAACGGTGGGTGATGAAGTGTCATAAGGGATCTAAATCATTTAGACAGCAGAGGCAGTGTGTAAAAATGCACCTCTTGCTTTGAACTATAGCTTAGTTATTTAATTCTTAAATTCTGAAGTTGAAATGTTGTCCCTTTGCATAAAACTCCTCAGAATCAGGTCTTCACATGGCTGATGGAGGTGTAGCCATAGCTGCATTCATTACAGGAGCTGAGTTGGAGGTAGCCACTTGCCACAAGTGTTCAAGTTTGGCAAACTACTGGAAAACTAGAAGAGTTTGTGATCTCCGTGCAGCAACTATGATACCACACCTTGTGCAAAGCCCCTGTGCGGCAGGATGGAGCAGAGACTTGTCCAGCCTCCCTCTGGGGTTCCCAGGGAAGAGGAGGGCAGGAATAGCCAAGACTTCTCCCTCACTGTTCTTCTTCCTGCTATTATGTTAACAATGTACAGGTCTATTTGGAGATGAACCTGTGAAGGTCAGATGGAGACAACTAAAATAAACAAAGAGCACTTTGTAAAACTTTATTATTCTTTTCTTAAGTGGCTTGCTCTTATAAAACTGAAGCAAGGCCTGGATTTCAGCAGAAAAATTTAACTTGCTGTTCTAGAATTCAAAGAAAAAGTAAAATCTTGCTTCTAGCTATTCCTGCCAGAACCCTGAAAACTAAGAATTGATCTATGCAGACTTGAGCTACACATAAAGGTGCCTACGAAATGTGACAGGAGTTCCTTTGCCCTTGTCCCCTTGTCCCCTGCTAGCCTTGAGCTTTAACTCGGGTAGGCAGAACTGACTAAACAATGTCTATTCCTTTTAAGTTTTTGTTGGTACAATTTCTTGTTTCAGTGAGTTAGCTAGAACTTGCTAGGACTTATGACAACTGTGTAGTGAGAAGTAATTTTCAAAAAACAAAAAAAACTCCCCAAACCCACAAAAACCTAACACTACCCCACCCCCCAAAAAACCCAAACCCAAACCAAAAACCAAACAACATTTAGTGGGTTCTTGGAGGGAGTGAACGGAGGAAACCAAATTACAATCACTGCAGAACTTCACAGTACAAAATAGAGTACTACAAATTGTGTTTAGCGTTAAATCTAACTTCATTTCCTTTTGCTTATTACTGATGTGGGATAAATGTCAAGTATTAATTGACTGGAAATTTGGTGAAGTGCATATGAAACCTGAATTTGTGTGGAGTCAGCATGTAGTGTTTGACCTTCCATTCCACAGAGAACGCTGGTTTCATCTCTGAGGGTACAGAAATTCAAAAGACTGAAATCCAGGTTTTTGAAAGCAATGCCATAAGTCTGGCAGTGTAAGTATGTCCTGTGTTCTTTATGACAAGGATTCAATAAGGACTTTTTCTCCACCTGTATATTCACTGATGTTTACATCTGTTAAGAGTCAAAGTCGTCTGTCTGACAGAAGAGCTACTACTTTCCTGACCTCCAGTTGAGAAGCACAAAATCCTGAGAACATGGAAAAAGGCAGGATGCTTCAGACCCAAGATACTTCTAACTTGCTGTCTAGGTAGTTTTGGACTTCTGACGACTGCTTGTTGCAGCACTTATTGCACTGTTGGGATAGATTATCACCTCATAAAGATTTGCTCCTTACATCCTACGGCTCAGGTTTAAAATCTGTGATTGGAAATTCTTATCCATAGTCCATACCTTGCCGGAGTGCGCTTCTGAATGTCAAGAGAAGACTAAGGTGGAAGTGTACAGCACAAAACCTGGGAAGGCAAAGACCAAGTGTTTAGCTGCAACCGTTCTGACATGGTCTCTTCACTTCTGCTGTGCAAGCCTTTTACTAGACCCTTATCTCAGATGGAGTTTACACTCAGATAAAGCCTACGGAGGGCAACAGGTTTTTGCAGGTGTGGGGAGTGGCCCAACTTGAACTGCAGAACCACTGTGAGGGGAAAACGGCGTTGAGGAAGCAGGCTGGTTTTAAAAACCACAAGATGATTTCTTGGCCTGCTGTCAGCTAGCAAAACTACTCTGGCAGTGCCCTTGTGCTTTAGGTTTTGCTGGCATACGTGTATCCTGCATGTAAAGTGGATTATAACTCCCTTTTATAGAAAAAGGGGAAAATAGTGGAAACCTGTGAATGCAGCGTTCACGCCACCATGGTCCAAGGTGCCCTGTGAACCAGCACAGTGGGTTCTGCAGCTGGCTGGAGTACCTCCCCATGGCAGGCACGGCAATCGTGTGCCATCCTGGCCACGGCGAAAAGAGATTTGAAGGGAGGAGAGTGTGTCACTGGCAGTTTCTGGGAGTGAAGGCATTTCTGGGTGGAACGGGCAGACTTAAGATTTGCTGTTTTGTGCATCTGAGGAGGGGAGAGGGAGGTGTTTCCCACCTTGAATATGATGCCTTGGTTCTTAGTTCTTCCTTGGTTTTCTATGGAGGAAGTTTACAAATAATTTCCCAGAATATAGACTAAGAAGTCCATGTCTTTGTATTTGAATCCGAATGGTCAGATTGTGAAATTTAGCTTAATACTTTTCTCATTCCTTGCCTTTACGTTTTGGGAAGAGCTTGAGGAGTCATAACTTCTGCAAGCTTTCTAACTCGATTTATAGAAAAAAAAAAAGTACTTTTTTCTGTTGTAGGAAACATTCAGTGATAGTGACCTGATAACTGCTTGATTTATGCAACTCTTTATTTTAACAAAGTTGCAACACGTTTTGTGCAACAGGAAGTACCATGCTCAACATACCCCTGCTTTTCTGCTAGATTGAGTAAAGCCCAGTCCTGACCCTGCTAAAAATATGCCTAGCAATCAGGAAAACTTGTCTGTTCTGTGGTGAAACAAGCTGCTCTGGGGGAGGAGGGAAAAGGAATTTTAGTCAAGTAAAGGCTGAAGTATTTTCAGACCCCAGCTCTTTTTAAAAAAAAAAGTTGTGGGGTTTGGGGGGTTTTTGTTTGTTGGGTTGGGATCTTTTTGTTGTTTTGCTTTTTTTTTTTTTTAACATAAACTCTAGTTACAACTAGTTACTTTTGTCCTTGCTGAAATAGAACATAACTGTAGCTTACTGAATACAGCCCACAGCGTCTAGCTATGAAGTTTCGTCAACTACTAGGCTCTGACATCTTTATCCTTAAAAATTATGTTTACTTAGTGATATTTTTCATACTACTATGCAATTTTCTTGGTCTGCTGGTTTAGTGATATGCTAACTGGTTTAGTATATCACGAAACTTTATAGATTGCCTGCTATTCAGCAATGTCACACGAACAGTAATTCTCAATGTGCTAATCAGTGGTGTGTGTTTCCCAATCTCCCTTACCAACTCTGGGAAGCGCTGGCTTCCATGTACAGACTGCTGGCTTTGAGTTCAGCAGTAAGAAGACTTAGGGGAAACCACAGCAAAAACTAATTAAGTATCCTAAAATCATTGTCTCTCCAAAGTCTGCACTCCAGCAATACTATAAATAGGGAGGGTGAAACAGATCCTTAGTTGAGTTGTCAGACTTTTTGAAACGCATGTTACTACACGCTCTTGAGTCTGTCACACTTCCCTAACTTGCAAAGTAGTTTAAAAAAGCTCTTGCCTTCCACTCAGTTCAGCTCCCTATGATGATGCCTACATCAGTTTTTGAGGGGCTGCTCTGCAAATAACGTCAAGGAAGTGGTCCAGAAATGTAGGTAGTGGGTCTTCCCAGATCTCAGCTGCCTGGAGCACAGCTTTACAGGTAGCTGAGCTGGCGGAAAACTACTGGGCTATAACAACAGGCAGTCAAGAGTAGGAGGAGGTCAGGAAGTTATTAGGCTATCTCCTCCTCTGAGGAAAAGGAACGTGTCCAAACACGACTATTTTTGCTATCCAGCAAAGTGTGCCATCCAGTGAACGGATGGTGTTTCTGGATCTTTCGTCTGGTTAGCATTTACAATGCATGAAATGAAATTTATCCTAATGTTGGGCCATCAGTATATTTTGTCCTTGAAAACAAGCCTTTGTGTGAATTTAAAAAAAGAATATCCTTTGACTGAGAATACTTGCAGCTTGTTTTAATTCTCAAAACCGCAAAGGGAGCTTATTACAGCAGCTGTGTGAAGCACCTCTTAGTTGCTTCTTCCAGCCAAATGATTTTTGGTGACTGGCAGACAAGATCACCTGAACCATGAGTACTTCTAAGTAGTTGTAGTTAGTACTAACACTGTTACAGATCATCTTACCACAAGCTTTGGTGAGACAAGTTAGTTGTCTGCTTTGCCGAGTACAGTTTTAAGAAGGGGCAGAAGACGCCAGCAGGCAGAAGCCCCACCTGCTGCCAGTGTACCAGCCTAGCAGTTGGTGGCCTGTCACTTGCCCCGTTTGTCTCCCAGTTTCACCGGAATAGTCTTCTCCCAGGAGCTGTGTGGGACAAGTAGCTTAACCTATGCCACTGCTGTCATCTACTACTGCAGCCGTATATCTTTGTCTACAAAATGAAATTGGGAGATGCCAGATGAGTAGGTTTAGGCTGTTGCCTGCACCCACAGGTGATGCGGGACTTAAGGGGATACCTGGACCTCAAGTGAACTGTTACCTACGGTAACTATTTTTTAACCTTTCTGTTGCAGGTGGTTAAAACCATTGGTTTGCGAGAAGTGTGGTACTTTGGTCTTCAGTATGTGGACAACAAAGGATTCCAGACTTGGCTGAAGCTTGATAAAAAGGTAACAGACTTCAGGCTAATTGCTGAACAAAGGTTAATGTTGCAGGATTCCTGATGTGTTAGTGGCTGCAACTTTTTAAACCTTGTACCTGTTGTTGGTTCTTCCTTAATTCTCACAGTTTTTGAAGAAAACTTTGTGACCTCCATGGGAACTGTTTGGGTGGGGTGTGGCGTGGTGGAAGTTTGCCCTTTCACTCTGTGTGAATTGTAGAAAGCTTTCTGGCATTTGTCAGATGTGCAGCAGCAGCTGGATACGGTGCTTTGTTGGGTAGAAGCAGCTGTTCTCAGGCTTGATCTGAGGTTTCCTGAAGCAAAGTCTCCAACATGACGTGCGCCAGACGAATTTACTGAGTGGTACAACGGTGTAAAACAGCTCGAGCTGGGTGCCTCCAGAGAGGGACCCGGAACAAAGAAATCCCTGGGCAATTAGACCCTGACAATCTAAGTTCCTGTCCTGCATGCGTTCTCCACGCACTGTCCACGTGACAGCTGATCCAGTGCTGTTATTTGTGTCTGGGGGCTTTTTGTTCCTCACTGGGGCCCTCCATTCTCCCTGGGCAGGCTAGAGATTCTTCTCTTATCTTCCAAGAGGCCCTGCTGCTGTCCACTGACAACTTAAGACTACTTTGTCTTCTAGCTGCAGCTAGGTCCTTGGGGCCCTCCTTTTACTTAGGTTGGCAGGGATTCAACAAAAGCTCGCTCTATCCAGGTGGCAAATTCACAGCGTGCGGCCTGAGGCTTCAGTGAAGTGAGCCACTGGTGCTAAGCAAGTTAGTTATGCAAATATATATATGAGCAGTGTACCAGAGCACAAAACAGCAACTCTTCTTAATTTCCACTATTTTTTTTTCTATAACATTGCGCTAATTAGAAAAATAGATCACTTCGAGACTGGGCAGTTGTAACAGAGCTCAGGTGCCTCAGATGTGCTTTTGTTTGTGGGCTTGCAATTCTTATGAGGGTATGAACAGTTTTTCTTGACAAGGCAGTCAGTGACATGCCTGTTTAACGACAGGGGGCTGTTCTGTCAAACACATATGATACTGGATGGGTTTGCTGTCCGATAGAGCATGGTAAATCATTCTCCAGTGACCAAGGCTTGCTGTGCAAGCAGAATTTTACTGGCTCAGTTGGAAAACTTAATGTGTCTCTCCTGTGTTCTCATACCAGTAAGCAGCTGGAATTAAGGAACGCCAGTAATGAGTTGCCAGTCACTCACCGCTCAAAACAAATACCCCAAAAATTCCTTTTTCTGTGTAAGTGTCAGTTATTTCGTTGTTTGCAACCCTGCTCAGTTGTGGTGTCGCCTCACTCCTCAGGTTTCTGCTCAAGAAATTAGAAAGGAGAATCCCCTCCAGTTCAAATTCCGCGCCAAGTTCTTCCCAGAGGATGTGTCTGAAGAGCTGATCCAAGACATCACACAGAAGCTCTTCTTCCTGCAGGTGAAGGAAGGGATCCTCAGCGATGAGATCTACTGTCCTCCTGAAACAGCAGTACTTCTTGGCTCCTATGCTGTGCAGGCCAAATTTGGAGATTACAAGAAAGATGTGCACAAGCCTGGATACCTCAATTCAGAGCGTCTGATCCCCCAAAGGTGAAGGAGTTGGTTGACAGTCTCCCTTTTTTTTGTGGGGGGCATTTTTGCTTGGGTGGTGGTTTTTTTTTTTTGTCAAGAATTTGCATTCTAGTTAAATGCAAAGAGTTTCACTGAAAGCATGACTTTTTAATTGATCTGTATGCATCTGGGTTTTTTCCTTCTTTTGTTTCTATCTGTCAGTATGTTTTTGTGCTCTCTTCTTGGGTTGGTTAGGGAGAGGAAGTATACTTTTGAATTCAGCTTTTCTTTCCTAAACATTGTGGCCATGCTGGTAACTGGCAGTCTGAATGTCTCCTCTTTGAGAAGAGCAGCCTTCAGTCATGAATGCGTCATCCCTGGAGAAGTTTGGGTTGTGTGTCCTTAATCCTAATGTACAGTCCTAAAATTCCCGTATCTGGAAAGTGTGTCTTGAGGCTAAGCAGTCCATCCCCACACAGGATAAGTGTATGTTGTCAGACAAATGGTTTCTGTTTATACTTCCTGATGACGCCCTGCACAATGTCTGATTCCAGGAAGCACATCAGTTTTTGCTGTACTTTAACCCTCTTGTGTCTGCAGCATGTATGTGATTCTTTTGCAGAGTTCTGCGTAAGCCTCTCATGTCTCTGTCAGTGACCAGAAAGGCTTTGCAGAGGTGTTTTTGTTCATTCTGAATTACTCTGCTTCACAGAGTACACCTTTGGGCTGAGTAGAATCTTCCTTTTTGTTTCAGTAAGGCTTCATGGGTGGGACTGATTTTTCAGTAAGACTATAGCAAAGATCAGCATCAATGAATACTGCAGAACACAGAGTCCAGTCTTGCTAATAGCTCTTTCTTTGTGTAGGGTGATGGACCAGCATAAACTCTCCAGAGAGCAGTGGGAAGAACGGATCCAGGTGTGGCATGCTGAACACAGTGGCATGATCAAGTAAGTGTTATGTGCTGGTCCCCAGGCCAGTCGCTTTGTCGCTGGTGGATTGCCTTATGCCTGCAGTTCAACATGATTTTGAAATAGACTTCAAGGGTCAGCTGTGGGGGGGAACTCTTGGCATATGTTTTCTAGTCCAACATCAAATCACGTGGTAAAACTCAATAGGATTTTGGCACTTGTGCTGAGAACAGTCTCTTGGACGGCTTCCTGAAAATCCTGGACCTAGGCACAGCATATCAGTGATGACTGAGTGGCACAAAAAAGTACAGGTGTGCATTTAACCTTAAGTTTGTTGAAGCATTTGCATTAGCAGATGGGGAAAGTTCAGGTACCGTACCTTTCCCACTGGCTGTACCTTGAGACAAGCATGAATGCTGGAAGAGATGAAGGTCGCTAATTGTCTGTCCAGAAATACTAGGGCTTGATCAATGGGAGTACCGTGTGTATGTGTTCGTAGGTGTAATATCATAATTCCTAAAGTGAATACCAAATGCTGAATGGTCATCTTTAACTCTTGTGTTTGATGTGCTGGTTTAGGAAAAGGTACTTGTTTCTCTTGAGGACTTTGTACTGTGAGACAGACAGATGAGAAGCTAACATCTGCTCTCTTTGCTGTCTCAACCAGAGAGAATGCCATGCTGGAATACCTGAAGATTGCTCAAGACCTGGAGATGTATGGAATCAACTACTTTGAAATCAAGAATAAGAAAGGAACGGACCTTTGGCTGGGGGTTGATGCCTTGGGGCTCAACATCTATGAAAAGGATGATAAGTAAGGCTCTTTTTTTTTTCCACCTCTGATCTCCTAGAGCGAGGGCTGGTGTGGGAGCCAAGGAACATTTCTCATTTACAGGATCAGGCCAAAGTTTAGAACTTGTGTTACAGTTTTGGATCAGTAGGCAAAGCTGTGCAAGGAATGAGCTTTCACATCATTTATGCTTTTGTGACTTGCCTGACCTTTGTAGCCTGACCTGCTAATGCTGCCTACCCTAGAAAGAGAGATGCCAGTTGTACAATGCCACCTGGTAAATCGTGCTCAGTTGTAGAGCTGAACCCTGCACTAAAGAGTTTACCAAGCTTTTCCTTGAGTCACGTTGCCAGGTGTGCCAGCAGTGGGTACAATATGAGAACCTAGATAGGTTAACGTCTCTGCAGAGTGTCTGGGCGTCGAAGGCCATTCCTATGTGGAAGTTAATGACAGATGTGCGTACAGCTGCCTGGTTTTGAGAAAGACAGATTATGGGGTGGACATGAAACCAAAGCCGGATAACACCCAGAACCCGGGGAGGAGTTAACCTATATAGTTACCATGAACGAGGAATGAAATGAGGTCTTGCTGAGGTATGCATAGTTTTAATCAGCCCTTCTGGTAAAGGCAGAGCCATTATTAATTGGATAGTAGGTGGGAAATGATAGGCTACCTCTATAAATAAACGTAAAAGGAAGGCGAGAACATCTGTGGCTAAGCCTGCTAGTCTCTTCTAATACTCCACAATTGAAGGGGAGTTAAAATAGACATTGTGTTTAAATGAAGGGTTGCTATCTAGACTGTCTTTATGCCTTTTTTTTTTTGTCACGAATCCATAGCAAACTATCATTGTAATACAGAGGGGATTTCGCCTGTTCTACATCTTTGCCTCCAGAAAGCTTGGAATGCAACCCAAGTGTTAATGGGAACTCTCTGGAGCTTCTGTTAAGACTGCAAAGGGAAAGGCAGTCTTTTCTGCAACGCTGATATGTGCTGTCACCCAGAAAACAAGGAGTGTCACTTGAAAGAAAAGTAGTTTCGCTCATGTAATACTTCAGTCTTGAATGACGAGTCTTGCTATGTAACTGTGGTCACACAAACAGGTTTTTTGAGCTGCAGACAGAGTACAACCCGTGTACTGTAAAGAGCTATCAAGAGCATTTGTAAAACAAATACAGTGCTGGAATTCACTGCTTGTTTCTGCTGTAACTCTTGCTACTATGCAATTAAGTCTTTTGAGCAGATATGGGGACTAGAAAAATGGGAGTGTGTGCCTTGCCTCTGGTTTGTACTTGCAAAATTTGGAGACTGGGGAAAAGGTGAAAAAGTCCAACCTGAGGAAAATGAGACCATGCTATAGGTGTGTGAGCCTCCATACTGCAGTGTGTGTCTGTGTCCCACTTCTAGGTATTTTCAAGCTTTTTTTTCTGCAATGAAGAGGAGAATCTGCAATAGAACGTATTAATTAGGGAATTATTTTAGTTGTCTGTCATACTGTTCCATCTAGGGTTGAAACACTTAAGCTAATATGACGGAGGCTGGAGTAATTAGTTACTTAGTCTAATCAAATCATTTGCTTTACTGTTCTTAATAATATTACACACACACAGTTGCATAATCCTGCAGTTGAGTTAAAGGTTAGGGAACAGTAAGTTCTGAAGAGGATGCAATTTTGTTCTTGATGTCCGACTTTAAAGACTTGCTTCATTTAGTGTTGGCGCAGTGAAATTGTGCTATGCAGTAGCTTTCCATCTCTGAAGACGAGCCAAATTCCTCCAAAATTGCCAGCATTTTTCCATAACCAATGAGCTCCATAGAAAGGATTCTTACACAGCTCGAGAGGTTCACCATGATGACAGACACTTTTCTAAGCGCTAAACATTAAATACTTGTGTCTTCAAACCATTTGCTGGAAATAATTGTCAGCACGTCAGTGTGTGTCAGACACATATGTCAGAGGGGTTAGGTAAGAACAAAAAGATTGCTTGTTGGCATTATCATTTATGTAAGATGCAATTCTGAATTGTTAACTGCTACCTCTAGAGGATGTATCCTCCCCTCATAAGAGAAGAATCTTTCTTTTGGAGGGGTATTGAATGAATTTGTTAGTGGTGAAATACACAAGCCCTTGTAATATTTGAACTTACTGCAGAGCTGGCCAGATACATAAGGATGAAGTACTGGAATGGCTCGGAAACATCTGATCTCATGAACAACTTGATACTTTTTATGTGCAAGGTTCTGGAGAAATAAAAGACAAGGAAAATCTGAAATGACTAAAGAAGCTTAAAGCAGTAATTTTAAACAAACCAACATACTTGAACTCGTGGGCAGCGAGGAAGAACTGGGAGTCCAGGTCTTGCCCTTTGCTTCGTAGGGGTGCTTTCCAATAGGAGAGCGCCACGTGGCACAGCTCCTTGCACCACCAGTGTTGGTGACTGCTGGGATGGGCTGGACAGGCTGTTTGCATGGAAGGAAAGAATAGGGCTCTTTGTTACTAGCCTTGCCTGCAATCTAGAGGAGGAGACAAAAGACAAGAAAGCTGCTTCTACCTATTGTGTTTGTGCCTGCCCAGCACTTCAGACGTGAAGGCAGCACGGTGGTAACTGGGCTAGCAGAGCACGTTTCCCTGTGAGTCCTAGAAGGTGTTGGGGGGCAGCTGAGTTACTTTGGCTTTTGCCTCCCGTGGTGTAAGAGAAGCCTCCTGGAAACACAGCACATGTGCCTGAAGTCTGCACGCTGTGGGTTTTAGGCCCCGATTTCAAAGGAATGAACTTAAAGCAGGTATTTGAGAAAGCTGAGTGTGTGGCTGTGGTAGAGACCATCCCTGTTGCACAGCCAAAGGTCTGTAGGGTGGCTGATCGCGATGAGAAGAGACTCCGTAAGGGAGGGGACTGGGTATCCTTCCCTGCTCCTGTGGGTTTTTTGTTTCAGCTACTGTCTTCTCTCTGTTGGGAGAGCTGTGTGAAGTGTTGCACCCACAGAGTTTGTGTTAGAAGCAATGTGGGGAAAAAATATGTTCATTGCAGCAACTGTTAAAAATATTTCTCTTCTTTGCAGACTGACTCCAAAGATTGGGTTCCCCTGGAGTGAGATCAGAAACATCTCTTTCAACGATAAGAAGTTTGTTATAAAGCCTATTGACAAGAAGGCACCTGTGAGTATATCTAGAATGGATTCCTGGATGTTGCATATGAACAACTAATACTGTTTCATTTCAAAATACATTTATCTTTGGTGAGAAGAAAGCTGCAGATATTCTAGATGCAAAATGAGCCTTAGTATTTAGGTTGTATTTGGAGCAGTCTGGTTTTCTGAGCAGTATAAATAAAGGGTTCTGGTGGTATCTCGCACAGAGAAAGACACGGATTTTACAGCTGCAGAGTCCTTTTTTTCCTAGTGAACTAGGTAACCTTATGCTTAAACTTGAGATTCTTCACTAGTTCTCCGAGTCTTCTGGGTAGCTAGATTATACTCCAAGACTAGTCCTCTCCCCATTTCTTTCAGTTCATGGAAGCTGGTAGCTAATGTTGTTGTTATTGTTAATAATAATAATAAAAAAACCCCACAAAAATCATGCAAATATTACTGCAAAACTATATGGATACATATGGCTTCCCATCTTAATGCTCACTGCCACGCCACTAAAAGGGTAAAAGCCAATTAAGGACCATGGTACTCACTGACCTTCTTGAATACTTGGGTAAATGTAAAGCATATGATTTCTGTGGAGAACCTAAATATAGCTACCCGTGAATGTCACTTTTCAATACTTAGAGTGTTTTCAAGGTTATTTTAGTGAAGAATTAGCAACTTTGACCTGTTCAGAACATAAAGTGGAGTAACTGGTATAGGTGGATCTCATTCTGTCAGTCTTGTGAAACTGTTGGAATAGTTGAAAGACCTCCCCTTCTTCTGTTTCCCCACCTCAGTCCTTGCCCTTGGTGGGTAAGTACAGCCCTGAGAAATAATGAGCAGTTTGGCTTTGGCAGAGGGTTATGGCTTATAAATCTCTTTAAATTACTGGGAGGATGATTTTCAGTTACAGGATGCTAACACACAGTGTGCTGCAGGGCTTTCCTCCAGATAATCGCCTGGGTTTTGCGGGGAGAGGAGCTTCTTTTTGTGATGCTGTTAGTGCAAGCCAACAGTACTCCACTGAGACAGAGAGCTGGTCTGTCCACCATGCTTTTCTCAAGAGAAGAGCCTCTTGGACGTGTTGTACCTGTTATGAAGTGAGGAGTCTCCTGTTTATGTATCGCAGCTTTCCATCCACTCCCCAACTGTAAATCTGACGGAGTTTGAACTGGGAGACTTGCCAGAGGGTGATACAGAAAGGTGTTAACATTGAAAAACTTAGCTGTGTTTCCTCCCTCTGTCTCAGTTGGTGGTGTTAAGTTTAAAGTTATGTGTGAAAGAAGAATTTATCTGGGTGCTAATTCAGAGCATTCAGGAAGTTGTCTGGATCTTTGCATATGCTTATGTGTCCTTTTAAAAAGGCAAGTATTATAACTACAGCAAAATACCCAGTCGACCCAAGATGTGGGCTGGAAGCTCCCTTTTAATTTGGAGGATGCTACATGTCAGTGTTTAAATGGACACTAATGCAAAGGGTGGAGTCCTGCGGCATCTTGCCCAGAATCAGCTTTCTTAATCTTTCGGCCTGTCTCCCCACATACTCCAACTTCAGCGCGTTACCTTTCACATAGCAAGCTGCCATGCTCCTAGTTGTGGGGAACTGGGGGGAGGCTGGGGATGAGGAAGGGTCGGGGATTCTTGTGTGCTCTCACGTGAATGTTTTGTCCCTTGGCTATGGCCTGAAAGGACAAACACAGTCACCGCCCCTGCCCTCAGTATTTACTTCCATGTAAGTGAACCTTGCCTCAGGACGGGACCTGTTCATCACAATGTACACAAACTGTTTGGTTTTAAAATCACTTGTCGGAAGCAGGAGGCTGGACAAATAGCTTGCAGGTGCAGTTGGCAGTGTCAGACCTCTGCAGCTCAGACTGGCTCTGGCAGGGTTTGGTGGGGGAGCACAGCACACGGCGCGGACTGCGTCTCGCAGTCAGAATATGACTTGGGAAAATCCATTGAAGAAAATGAGTCTTTTTCAGCATGTTTGCGTTTGTCTTAACGGTACTGGGAGTGCCCTTCACTGCTTCTAGCCTGACTTCTGGTTTTTCCATAGATAGCCATGACTTGTGCTTCTTGGCTCTCGGGCAGTTAAAAAGATGATCGCTGCTGCCATGTGAAAGCGTAGGGCCACTGTGTGCCCCTTCTCGGCTCCACCTCTTGCTAGCAGTGAGGCAATCCACGGGAGAGTGGTTCTGAGGAATGGGTGCTGGTTTATGGTGGTGATGCGGCAGCTTGCCCGCTGTCCCCATCGCCATCCATACAGTACACAAAAACAGGCACAAAGATGCAGAGTTTGTTCACTGCGTAAGTTCAGACTGCATTGTAAACACGGGTGGTTGTGGGCACAGAAAAATCATCAGGCAGGTGATGAACTTGGCCCTCTGTATCCCTTTCTTAGCAGATTTACTTCTGGAACATTCAGCCTGGTTCGCAGTTTCTTTAAAGGTCTGATTATAACACAGGGAATAAAAAATTTGGGGCTGCTCTTTTTGCAGAACTGGAAATTTTAGAATATCTTGTGTTTTGTTACTGCCTGCAACCCAATAATCAAAATAACCCTTATGTCCCGTGGTTTAAAAAAAAAAAAAAAACCAAAAGAAAAAAAAAAAACAAAAAAAAAAACCAAAACTTTCATTTGACACTCTTGTAACAGGCTAGGTCAACTTAACTAGGAAATGCCATGGAGAGGAAAGAATGATATTGTAAGGTATTTCTGTACGGGTGAGGATTTCGTCTCTTTTACTGAAAAAACACAGATGGTGCCTTTAATTTTGATTCAAATAGAGCAGGGAATTCTACAAAGTTACATCAATAGTCTGCAATACATTTTTATTTTCATGCTTTATCTTTCAATCAAAACCTATGCAAACTTAAAAACTAATTATTCAGTACTAGAGATGTACAAGTTGCCTGGCTGGCTACCTGCTAACCCACAATCTTCTGCAACGTTTCCAGACTCCACAAAGTGTTCTCTAAATGGAGATTGTTAATTTTCTCTAAAAGATACTTTTTCTGGAAGAGTAACTTGTCAATTTTATGTAGACTTGAAATTGAGAATATGCATAACAATTGTTTTGGCTTCAGATGATATTTGCTGTTCCCGCTGCTGTATTTAAATGGCCTACCCATGTGTACCGGTTACAGTGGCGCTGGTGGCAGGGGGATCTGTGCAGCCAGCTGGGAGGAGAGAAAGCATGCTTGGAAAACCGACCGTGCGGTGTCTCTCTTCTAGGACTTTGTGTTTTACGCCCCTCGTCTGAGAATTAACAAGAGGATCCTGCAGCTCTGCATGGGCAACCATGAGCTGTATATGCGGCGCAGGAAGCCCGACACCATTGAGGTGCAACAGATGAAAGCCCAGGCCCGGGAGGAGAAGCACCAGAAACAACTGGAAAGGTGAGCCTGAACATAAAGAGCGGGGATGGGCTGCAATAGAGCCCTGGTTTTCTCTCTCTGCATCCAGTGGCTATTTGGTGGTCTACATTTCTGTGGCAGGCAACAAAAATACAAATGTTTTTATGAAATGGGGTATTCAAAACTGAGCAAAGATTCTGAAGTGACGAAGGCACAGGCTATATGTGTTGCTGTCTTCTGGCTCTTGTTTTGTGGCATTCACTTCCCATGGAACTGCCTAGAGAGTCGCCCGGCCAACTTTCTTGCCTAGCTGTAGCTTAGGTCTGACAGAGAGCTCTAAGGATGCAATCTGTTTCTAACAGGCAACAACTAGAAGATGAAAAGAAGAGGAGGGAGGCGATTGAGAGAGAGAAAGACCAAATGTTGCGGGAGAAGGAGGAGCTGATGGTGAGGCTGCACGAGTATGAGGTGAAGACTCAGAAAGCAGAGAAAGGTAAAGTGCTCGTACCTGCTGACCAGAGCACGCGTATTGTGCGCCACAGGAGGGTTCTGTGAGTCGCTGCCCCCACTTAGCCTAAACCTTGTCACACTGGGATTCCTTGGCAAGGCTTCCTAATGTCTACCTGTGCGGATAAATGCACAACACTGCTGAGATCATCGAAGGCATAAAAGCAGCATACAATCTGCTGACTGTATTTGGAGACTGAAGGCCACAAACTCTGTTTTCCCCTGTTGCCAAGAGGGTTGCAGTAGTATATCCTCTTCCAGCAGTGAGTAACAGAGTTCAGCTCTCAAGTACTTTTTACTTAACTCCTAGCAGAAAAAGCACTTTGGGAACAAGTCTTTCTAGTGAAACAGAAGCTTCTGTTTCAATGCACAGATGAGCAGATCGGAGAATGTGTATCTGACTACTTCTGAATTCAGCTACTTGATGTATTATGCGAAGAATTACTTTGAAGTGCACACCGAAGAGATATTGCAAACTGGAGTCAAGCGTTTATCGTGGCTTCTGCAGTTACCTGAGAGACTGTCTGTAGTCCCTTTGCTTTGGCCAGGCTGGTGGACTAACCACATTGATTTGTCTTTTTCCAGAGCTCTCAGATCAGATCCAAAGAGCCATTCACCTGGAGGAGGAACGGAGACGAGCCCAGGAGGAAGCAGAACGCTTGGAAGCTGATCGTTTGGCTGTTCTGCAGGCCAAGGAAGAGCTGGAGAGACAAACTGTGGACCAGATGAAGAGCCAGGAACAGCTGGTAAGACCCAGTCACTTTGAGGATAAGGCATGTTACTGTGCCCTTGGAGTAAGGCAAAGCCTCGCTCCCCAGGAAAAAACATAGTGCAGTGAAGTGCTAGACCATGCGATAGCATCATTGTGGCACTGATTTCTATCATGAGCAATCTATTTTTTGTTCTTAATTTCCTATTCAGGCTTTATTACAGTGGAGTGTAACACTTGGGTCTTTCCTCAGTCAACAGTGTTTCATTGTTGGGTTGGGTCTGGTTTGGTTTTTTAGGAGTCCTTATAATTCCAGTTTTATTATTCAACAGGCTACAGAGCTGGCAGAGTATACAGCCAAGATTGCACTTCTTGAAGAGGCAAGGAGGCGTAAAGAGAGTGAGGTTGAAGAGTGGCAAATCCGAGTGAGTATCTCTGTTGTACAAAGTTGCTCTGAAGTTCTACACCTGAGCAGAGCGTACGGTTTTGCCCAGGCAGTGCTTAGCCTGGTATGACTTAAAACATATGGAGACAAACACCTGTGCATCAGCAGAGAAGGGCAGGCTCGCAAAGAACGTACAGTATGCCTGCAAACACCTTTCTGCCAAGGAGCCTTCAGTGAAAATTCGAAACAGAAGCCTGTATAAAACCTAAGAATGTGCTTATCATCTTGGAGCCATGGAGGGGATGGCGGGGTGTGTATAATGACGCGTTTAATCTGTGCTGTAATGTCTGAAAACATTATATCAATCAAGAAAAGATGCTGCAAACGCAGCTGCACTGCAGGTACCAGTCTTGAAGAGTACAGCGGTTTGCTGGTACCTGGGTTAGGAGAGCTGAATCCTTTGCACTAAACCCAACGATAAACCACGCAGGGCTCGGAGCAGCTGGTGCTCCCAGCGCCCTGTCCCCAGCACTGCAGAGCACGTGGGAGGGCAGAACCACTGAAGCAGCAAGGAAGCCAACTGCCTACTGCATAACAGCATTAAAAATGCCAACCTGGGGACTGTAAGTTCCTGCTCTGTGGAATGTGCATTTACAACCTATGGCTCTTCAGGTGGAGAACAGGATGAAGGCAACTGTAGCTTCCCACAGAACTATTTTTCCTAGACTGTGTTTTATTGGAAGAAGGCCCTTTGTTCACATCCCTTGCACATTACACGGTGGATGATGATAGCATCACTAGCAAAAAAAAAAAAGGTATTCTGTGTAAGACTGTAACAGAGTACTGTTGGTGGCAGAGACTGAATTCCCTCTGCCTTGCTTTTCACAGTAGATTGACAAAACTGGGAAGATATGCATTAAAGCATTTGCTTAGCTGGTTTAAATCAAGAAATGCACTAAAATATTTTTTCACTCTTTTCCCAAAGGCGAAGGAAGCCCAGGATGATCTGGTAAAGACAAAGGAGGAGCTACACCTGGTAATGACGGCTCCGCCTCCACCCCCGCCGCCTGTCTATGAGCCAGTGAACTACCATGTCCATGATAACCTGCAAGACGAAGGATCTGAGTACTCTGCCTACAGCGCAGAGTTCTCCAGCGAGGGCATCAGGAATGACCGCAACGAGGAGAAGCGCATTACTGAAGCAGAGAAGAATGAGCGCGTACAGATGCAGCTGAGGGTAAGCCAGTGTTTGGAGGAGGCGGAGTAACTGGAACAGTAATTCCTGGAAAATAACCATTTAACCATTTGATTAAGCACCCAGGGCATGATGGTTTCTCTTCCTTTACAATTCCTATAGGCAGTTTGAATTAAAGGTGTATAAAGATTAGTCTCATTGCTCAGGCTTCAAGATGACTTACATCATCCACAGCGTTTATGGAAAGAATGTGTTGTATCCATATCGCTGATCTGGCCAGTCATCTAACAACTGTCAATGCTCATGAGCTGAAACCTTCTCGTGTATAATCTGTATTTAATGTTCTTTATATGGCAGGCGCTGACTGATGAGCTGGCCCAGGCTAGAGACGAAAATAAGAGGACCCACAATGATATTATCCACTCGGAGAACATGCGACAGGGACGCGACAAGTACAAGACGCTGCGGCAGATTCGGCAAGGCAACACCAAGCAGAGAATTGATGAGTTTGAGGCAATGTAATGATGCTGCTAACAAGAAGGCAGGACTGTGGGAAAGGCAGATCTTAATGCTGTGTTCTTGTTTTGGGTCTGTTTTGTTGTGGTTTTTCTTTCCCTGAGGAGGGGTCACTGTATGACATTTAACAAATGTTCTCTAAACCAAGAGGTGTTTGAATCTCCCCTTTATTCCATACCCTCTATTAAATTTGGTATAGTTATAAACTGATCGTACCACTGATCCTGTGACTTGCTCATGCCTTTGCGTAGTGCCAAAAGGCCTTGCGTCACATCTCTCTTTAAGCAAGACAAATTTTAATAGGCCGTGCTTCTAGTTGAAGATACGTGTCCTGTGCAGGTGCTGGATTCAGCTTGGTCTAAAAATAAGCATTTGTGGGTGAATTTTGTGCCATATGTCATCGTATTTTTAGTTACAGTATAAAGTCCAACAGTTGAGAAGACGGGTTGTAGAGCTCGGGATCTGCGACCCCTGTTTTTGTGTACATGTGTGCATGTGTGTTTGTACGCTCTGGTTTTTCCCTTGGTCTTGATGCCCCCTTCCCTCCCCCGCCTATGAAAGAACTGACAACACCTCAGAAGCACTTGGTGCAGAAATTAAGCTTTTTCTGGTTGCTGTTCTCAACTGGAGAAATTTTGCAGTGACGGCTCAGAAGTGTGGCATAGGGACACTGATACCCTCCTCGTGTAACAGCTAGGCAAATACTCTGTTGGAATCTAACACACTACTGTGTCTGCATTCCAGCTTCATTACTGATCAGTTATAGTGTAGTATTTATATACACACACATGTATAACACATGCAATACATGAATTGCAGTACTAGTTCAAAGGGAAATAGTTTTGCTCTGTATATTTTGTTACTTTTCAGATTTAATAAGACTTGCATCTGTAAAAATGCCTGAACAACACTGTAGTCTGATACAGTGCAGTTGATTATTTGCTATAAAGCATTATTTGTAAAGATCATTTTTTTACTTAAAATTGTTATATGTACACATGATCTGATATATACAATTTTACTGCACCTATTTTTCTAACAAATTTTCTAATTTTTTTAAATATTTGATTTAAAGTTTCAGACTCCAAAGATGAAGGGACTGCATGTTTATATCACAGTTGTATTCTCTCTAGTAGAGAGCATTTCTGTGACCATTCCTTCCCCACAAATCTCCCCCTTTCCTTGAAAATCTGTTAGAAAGTGAGATACAGTATGTTGTCAGCTCTTCTCTTCCATTTACAACATCTATGCTGCTTTGTACTTGAGTTGAATCGTGTGTGGATTTTTATTTGCAGCAGCAAACATCTAAATAAAAGATCTGCAAAGTAACAAAGGACTTGGAGTCGAGTGTTTCTTGTGTGGGGTGTGTTTTGCGTGAGGTGTGCTACCGCTCTTTTAGTTCCTGTGCTTAGCATACGAATCCCGGTGTCTTTAACTCTCAGTCCTTAAAAGCCCCACTGACCTGGAGAGGAGGAACGGAGAATACTTGCTGTAATGACCAGAGGTACGTACCAGCAGCACTAGTTGTATGTACAGAGTTTCTGCTGCCTGTAACGCAACATCTGAGGCAAAGTGAACTGATGCAGTAGTTGGGCCTTAAGCTTGCACTTCCAGCAGTTTGCACAGATAAATGATAAGTGTAGCTAAACTCTTGTTTACTCTTGCTGTACACCACATGGAGCAGTCTGACATGGGCAGCTAAGAACAAGGAACTTCCTACAACCATGCTTGTTCTATTAGCTGTTGTCCCACAACCCTACTGAGGGAGAGCTTACACATTTAAGCACAGTAACAGCACACAGGTGAGGTGTGCAGCCATAGGCCAAAGCTTTTTAGATTCATGTGAAGTGACACTGGCACTGTAGATAATTCTGAAGCACAGAGGTGTCAGCATCACCCACCTCCAGCAAGCAGTGACATATGAGCTAGTTTTCAATTCTCTGAACACATGTAAAACATCAAGATCAGAGTGAAAGCAGGTAACTTCCTTAAGGTAACAGTTATTTTCTCTAAGAGGTATTCCTAGCTGTGATTAAATAATTACAGTTCTGCTGTGCCCAGAAACGGAAAACTGGGTATCATCTGGGCCCGGTTCCTTGTCAGCACAATGCACTTCAAACTGCTTGTCACTCCTGAGGAAACAATACCAACCTTATACTCCAGCTAGAGACACAGATAACAAAGCCTTAACTTTGGCAGAAATAAAACCTTAAAAATGCCACATGCTTTCAAATGCATAACTCTGTTCCCCAAAAGCTGGAGTAGGTGCTTTTCCCCAGTGTAACCTTTCCATAGACCTGAAGGGTATACGCCACTTGAATTTAAAGCATCATGCATGGGGAGGGAAAAGTTGCTGAATGGTGATCTTTCATGATTTAAAGTTTTCCTTATTCGAATGCAGGACAAGTGTGAAGTCCATCCATGCGTTTGGGCTGCGGAGCACTTCCTGCCATTGGGTCGCTGACTGAGAGACAAGGTCCATAGAGCCAAATGATTCCTCTGCAAGAAAGCAACAAGGAAGGTCACAGGGTTGCTTCTCACTTCGCCTTACCTGACTTCTGTCCCAACTGACCAGGTAACAACCAACCTGCTTCTCCCAGTTCATAGCAGTTTCAGCTGTTCTGTGCTCCTAAGGCACTAATGACAATAAACTGTAGTTATACCTTTGAAGCATTATATACATCCTGCTAAAACTAGGGTCCCTCTCTGAAGAACTCAGCCTGCAGCAAAGAAAAACCTTTTGGTTGTACAACTAAAAGCAGAGGAGCAAGTGTGCACTAGAAATAGCAGAATGGCATGAGGTCTCCTGCTTCAGTTCATCTCCACTGACGTTAATGCATTACCAGGCTTAGGGCTTGGTTGTCTTCACTTGGAAGCAGGTAGTCCCTGCTCTAGCAGAAAGGAGAATGCTGGGTAGGACAATCAAAAGGAGCTCATGAGGAAGCCTTCACAGCACTGAGTTATTACTAGTGATAATACTCCTCCAAAGTGCATGTTGGTAACAATGCAGTGACCGACCCTCAATCTTTTTGAGCCTTTCATCTCAAATACTGAAACCAGAGCACTTCCCCTCTGGGAAGACAGGTCAGAGACTCCATGGGACAGTCATCAAGCGACAACGCTTTCTTGCTCAACTACCCCTCAAACAGGGTCGACTCAGTGAGCAGAGGGTTTCTCAGGAATTTCTCAGCCTTGAGAAAGAGGGCTCGCTCTTAGCTGGAACCGAGCTCAAAGCTCAGACACACAATAGCCCCTTCTGAGCACTTTCAGTATATACCATTGATTGGATTGGTTTGTGGATGGAAGATAATAAGCACAAATATAAGCAAGGCTGGAGTCTACTAGACCACTAGTTCTTGCGCTTCCTTTTGATGAGATGGTATCTAAAATTAGCCAATTTATAGAAAACAGGTCAAGGAACAAGTCTTAAAAAGTATACGTAGAGCTCTAGATGAGTTAATGCCGCCCAACTTTTCTGCGCTGTATTCTGCACGGCCGGGCTCTGACCCTCAAAGCTACCGCCCTAACAAATGGCTTTCCTGACAATTCCCACTGACAGCCCTGAGCTTCTGCGCAGATGTCAACCAAAATGCACACATCTGTTCCTACAGGATCACAGCCTAAGACTGCAAGTTGCTTAGGACAGGTGCTGGGGCTGTATGCGTAGGCACATAACAGCTGGTAATAAACAGCACAGTCTAAATATTATTATTTATAATGTAAACTAAATGAACTTTTTACCAAATTACCTTCAATTCTGAGTGATAAAGAGCTTACTTGCACCAAGCTTGGCTCCTCCTAGGAACTGATCGCTTGAGCTGAACGTCGACTGGTCCCAGACGGTCAAGTGTAGACACGATTGCTGTAGCTGAGCTGGGGTAACACCATCAAAGATAAACAAGTGTTTCCACTGGGGACTGGCTTCTTTCTTCAGAACAGGAGACTTTCGCTTGACCTCTGCTTGGTCTGGGAGGATGAGACAACTTCCCAAAAGCAACGAGAGTTCAGCAAGGTTACTGATTTGTCAACCAGAAAAAGGAACGTTTGCAACAGTCAACTAGGGCCCTTTGGTTTGCCTTAAGTAGCGAAGAAGTTCATCTTGAGTGCACGGTGCTAGTGTGTTTATTCTGGGACTTGAACCTTTTCCTGTCTGCTTTCAGTGTGGGAGCAAGCAGGCTCTTCTGATCTGCTTTTCCTTTGCTGTCACTGACTGCTGAGGGAGTCTTTACTTCCCGTTCTATTACCCAATACTGCCTGAAACCTGCCTTTCAGCAGATAAAATGTTCACCCATCTCCCTGAGGACAGGAGTCACAGCAGGTGAAATGGCTTTCTGAGGTGTTGTAAGTGTACCCCAGTATCACACTTCCACTGGCATCTGATGCCTGACAGTAAGAAAGTGAAATGATCCCACACACAAGCTACTCAGCACATTGGAGGAGAATTCAGTCCCTCCTCTTAAAACACCTAGAATGAAAAGGATGAAATTTTCCTTTTCTGCAAAGGCACAGCTGAAAACAGGAGTGAAAATACCCTCTTGATTTGCACTTTTTTTTACCTCTCCTAATATCTAAAAGCAGATACTTAGAATAGTGAACTTCAAATTTTAATGACATCAGTAAATTCTGAAGTTCCATTCAGGACCCAGAGAGCAGGTGGGACTACTCACCGCCCTGCTGAGTGCTGCTGCTGTGCAGGCACCCAAATGCCACCACAACAAGGAAGTCTGACTAGGTGTGTGGACAACACCACTTTCACGTGCCAGTCTCCAGCTGAAAACACGTTAACACATATCTTGGCTCAGAATGTGCACGACATATTTTCTATTCAAAGTGTTAGGTCTCATACAC